ACTATACTGGTTAATGTCAGAGAACACGTTATCGCACTGAAAATCAGATTTCCTGTTCTGCGAAGCAGCACATTAAAGGCCTCTACTGCTTTAAAAGTCCGCCTTGAAAACAAGAGAAGCAAAAACCCCCTGCATGTATGATCAGAACTTCTGCTTTTTCCTCATGAGCCAAGGTGTCGCCCCAACATGCTCTTTTGACAAGTCCTGCACTTCCCTGTTTACTCTAAATGATTTGCCAGAAGCAACTAGAAAAACACTTACATCAAGGCAAGTAAAATAGAAATAATTATTCCTTTCAGGTATAAGTTAGTCACCTTTTAAAAGGTGTAGATCTCTATGAGGCTTGTACTGGCAAACACCGTAATATGTCATCTTGACTGCTCAGAAGAATTGGGAACAATCAGGAGAAAGCCCTCCCTACTGGGAAAAAAATGAATCCCTGAGTGGCGCAAATGGTTAACAGGCTCTGCTGCTAATCAAAACGTTGGAGGTTCAAGTCCACCCTGACATGCTTCAGAAGAAAGGCCTGGTGATCTGCTCCCCAAAATCAGCCATTAAAACCCCATATGGAGCCAGTTCTACTCTGACACATATGGGGTTGCCATGGGTCAGAACTGACTTAACAGCAGTTGGTAAATGATTATTGGGAGAAAAGCCCAGCTAGAGAGGCAGGTGCTTACTGGCCATGATGAAGATTTTGGCAATTATTCTAAGAGTGACAGGTAGATAAAGTATTTTAAGCAGGGAAGTAACAGTATGATTTATGTTTAAAAGATTGCTCTAATAGTGCCCACCTACCATGACTGAACATTTCGATCAAAGATTCTATAGAAGAATTCTGATCAAAAGGGAGAGAATGCAGAACAGAATGTCAAATTCTTATGAACTCCAAACTTACTGGAGCCATGGAGTGTGGATGAACCACCGAAACTATTGCCCTGAGATAATCTTTAAATCTTAAAGCAAAAATATCCCTTGACATCTTCTTAAAACCAAATAATAGTTTAGCTTAACTAGAGAAGAATGTCTGCCTTCAGTGTTGTGTTCTTTTAAGAACTATCAATATGGGACATTGATAACATCAATTTGAAAGATTAGATAGGAACCTTCAGAGGCAGTGAGTTTATGTTAATGGTGGAAAAATAACTCAAAAGGCAATGAAAACAGTTACACAACTCAATGTAACCAATGTCACTGAATTGTACAATAAAAATTGTTGAATTGGTGTATGTTTTGCTATGTCTATTCTCAAGAACAACAACGAAATAAATAATAGTAATAAAAAGATCAGGAGCTCTGGTAGCATAGTGGCTAAGGCACTTGACTGCTAACCAGAAGGCTGGTGGTTCAAACCCATCAGCCACTCCTCGGAAGGAAGGTTGGGCAATCTACTTCTGTAGTGATACTGCCTCGGAAACCCAAGGAAGGGTTACTATGAGTCCAACTCGATGGCACATAATAACAACAAATAAAAAGATTGCTGTATCTGCTGAATGGCTAGTAGACTGGGGAGGAGCAAAGGGAACGCTAGGGGACCAGTTAGGAGATACCATTTTCCATCCTCAGATTGGCAAAAATGAAAAAGATTGCTAACTTCTGGAATAGGGAAGGGCTTGGGGGAAGTAGGTGGAAGCACAAATTGCTGGAAGCTTTTGGGAAAGTTAACTATTAAAATTACAGTGCTTGTTACATATTCTTTGACTCAGAGATCTCACTTTAGGGGATCTAGCCTACAAAAATAAAAGCACCCATTGAAACTCCCAAGACTATGGCCCCCAGTCACCCTTTGGGCCTGGAATTGAACTCACTCCCATGACCTCCAGCCAAACAATACACAGGTGTATAAGGTGAATGTTTATACCAGGTAGGTACACTCCTTAGAATGATCAACCACGGGAGACCAGAAGGGCAGTATTTGCACAAGGAGATAGCTCAGAGGGCAAGAATGCATAGGAAAGAAGGGAAAAGGTAAACACAGGGAGGAAGTCGGAAAGAGCTGTTGCATTGTGGGGATTGCAATCAATGTCATAAAACAAAATGTGTATGAACTGTTGTATAGAAAATAAATTTGCCCTTTAAACTTTTCACCCAAATCACAATAATTTTTTTTAAAAAAAGCACCAGTATGAATTTATATGTAAATAATATTTATTGCATCATTTGTATTAAAAAAAAAAAAAAGGAAATAGCCTAAATGTCTCTTAACAGGGAAGGGATTAGTACTTTTAGAATATTACATCATTATTAAATATTAGTTAGATCTACATGTAAGTACCAGCAGACATGTCCATAACATGTTAATAAAAAAGTGCCAAGTTATGAACTTATAATGAACAGTTCTTTATGATATATATGTCTTTATATGTGTTTGTATGAGGGCAGAGAATAATGCAGAAAGACACACACCAAATTTTGTCATTGGTTGTCTGAAAAGGGTGGCATTAATGATTAAGGAATTGTTTCCTTTTTTTAAGGAGCTCTGGTGGCATAGTGGTTAAAGCCTTCAGCTGCTAACCAAAAAGTCAGTGCTTTGAACCCACCAGCCACTTTGCAAGTTCAAACTGCAGACCTTTTGGTTAGCAGCCAGTAGTCTAGCTTAATTCATGAAGAATGCTTGCCTTGGGTATTGTGCTCTTACAGAATTATCTATGTGCAGTCAGTCTGGACCAACAGC